ACACTGCCCCACTAGACACCACCCTTGCACACACACGCTTCCCCATACACACACTGCCCCCCATACACTATCCCCATACACACACTGCCCCCCTACGCACACACTGCCCCACAAACACGGTCCCCATACAAACACTGTCCCACAAACACTGTCCCTGACATACACTGCCACACTCACACACTTCACCCTTAACACACACCACTGCTCCTATACCCTGTATCCCAGCAGACCCCAGGTAAGTTGTCAAACTGTTCTTAAACGGTATGACTACTTACTCTGGGGTGGAATCCTGGCACTACTGACACCATAACTACTACACTGAGCTGTAGTGGTTATTGTGCCTGGATTATTTATTTAAATAATCTACAAGTGCCCCTCCCGAGATTAGGCTCTGGATCCGCCACTGATATGGGGGGACTGGGATTTAGAAGAGGGGGGACTGGGATTTAGTAGAGGGGGGTGCTGTAGTTTAGTAGAGGGGGATGCTGTTTTTTTTTATATATATATACTGTTCTTTTGAAAATAAACCTAAGTTTCTATAAAAATTTAAGTATTGGATTTTTTTGCGCCCCACATAAATTTAAATCTTGTTCATCTGGCCCATGCTAGACTTTGAGTTTGACATGCTTGCTCTACTGTATTGGTGTTAATCTGACCAGCAGTGCTTGTATTTTGGTTTGATTGAGTTTATAGTAAGGTATTTTAATATATTCGGTCAGGAATTCCAATAGGCAAGGTATTGAGGTGTGCGGGGTGCGCTACATTCAGAAAATACTGTCTGCGAACATAGAGACAATGTAGTAAAAAAGAGAGGAGGAGACCATACCCTAGACTGAATAGTTCAAAACAATGTATAAGTACACAAGTCTTTAGTGATGTTGTATATGCAATTGACCTCAAAAACAAAAGGACATAAAGAAACAATAGTGCAATATATTATGTACAGTGAGTATATGTTCGAGCTTCTGATGAATGACTGTTCAGGTGATTGGAGCCAAGCAAAGATCTACACCCTCATGGAACACCAATGAAGAAGAGGTAGGAGGGATTTATAGTGGGATTTTGTAGGGTAGGGACAGGGTATGGATGCTGTTTTAATCTTTTTTATATTTTTTATTTAAAATAAAGGTGATTTTCTACTCTCCTTCCTGCTGGAGTTCATATGATTCTTGCGGGTTCCACTGAAGTGGAGAGAGAGTCTACAGTTGCCCCTGACAATACAGGGGAGTCATCAGGGCAGTTTGACATTTTCCATCTAATGGGTTTTCCCTATTTAAAGCGCACAATACCATTTGTAACTGTATTACACTATGCTGTGTTTCATTCTGATATAGGTGTAGTTAATACCCCAAATTTGTTTGTGAATTACATACATTGCCTTAGAAGGAATTTTGCTGGGAACTCCTTGAGGTGGATGCTTTCATAAATATCCACACAAGTTAAGTATTATTTTTCAGTGGAGGGATTTATTTGTACATATCTATTTTTTCTTATTGTAGGTTGGCATGTGTGTAGGGGATGTAGTGTGTGTAGCGGATGTAGTGTGTGTAGGGGATGTAGTGTGTGCAGGGGATGTAGTGTGTGCAGGGGATGTAGTGTGTGTGAGCTGGGGATCTAGTGTGTGTGTGTGTGTTGGGAATGTAGAGTGTGTAGGAGATGTAATGTGTGTAGTGTATGTAGGGGATGTAGTGTGTGTAAGGAATGTAGTGGGTGTGTGTGTGTGTGTGTGTGCTGGGAATGTAGTGTGTGTAAGCAATGTAGTGTGTGTAGGGAAGGTTGTGTGTAAGGAAGGTAGTGTGTAGACGATGTAGTGTGTGTAAGGAATGTAGTGGGTAGAAGGGATGTGGTGTGTAGGGGATGTGGTGTGTGTAGGGGATGTGGTGTGTGTAAGGAATATAGTGTATGTAGGGGATGTAGTGTGTGTGTAGGGGATGTAGTGTGTGTAAGGAATGTAGTGTGTGTAGGGGATGTAGTGTGTGTAGGAAATGTAGTGTGTGTAGGAGAGGTAGTGTGTGTAGGGGATTTAGTGTGTGTAGAGGAGGTAGTGTGTGTAGGGGATGTATGTTTTTTTTCGTGTGATGCAGTGTGTGTATGGGATGTAGTGTGTGTCTGCCGCTGAAGCAGTCTGTGTCCTGGGGATTCATTGTGTGTGTAGGTGATGTAGTGTGTTTTTCTTGTGATGCGGTGTGTGCTAGGAATGTAGTGTGTGTAGGGGATGAAGTGTGTGAAGTGTGGTTAGAGGATGTTGTGTGTGTAAGGAATGTAGTGTGTGTGTGTGCTAGGAATGTAGTATGTGTAAGGAATGTAGTGTGTGTAGGGGATGTAGTGTGTGTAAGGGATGTAGTGTGTGTAGGGCAGGTTGTGTGTGTAAGGAATGTAGTGTGTAGGCGATGTAGTGTGCGTAAGGAATGTAGTGTGTGTGTCTGCTGCTGAAGCAGTGTGTGTCCTGGGGATGTAGTGTGTTTATTCTTGTGATGCAATGTGTGTAAGGTATGTAGTGGGTGCTGGGCATGCTGAATATAAGTGTAGGGAATGTATTATGGGATAGCTAACGTGGTTTGTGTGAAGTGGGTGAGAGTCTATTGTAACAAACCACCTCTTTTACAGGTAGGATTGTCACAGATCTTGCAGTAACCACAGCCTTCTAGGGTATACAAAGTCCAGGACACATTCAGCTCGGTTTTCCTTTTTTATTCAGTAAGAAAACAGGTGCTTTAAATAATAACAAAAACAAACAAAATCCCTTGCTCTTACTTGAGCTCTTACTAGACAGTAATTGCTATCTGCAATTGGGTGGCTTTCCCACTTACCAATTTTCCAAACAAAAGAAATGTCTTTGCAATAAACAAAATCTCTCCTAGCTGTCTTTTTCTCCCTCACTCTGCAGCAGGCTGCCCTCTTCTTTTAAAGGCCTGTCTACTAATTGACTGGCTACAGGTGAGTGCAGATTAACTAACTCGTAAATCAGATCCAAATAATGGTCTATTACACAGCAACTAATGCTGTTGGAGCATTGGCCCACCCTGCTCTCCAAATACTCCGCCCCAGGGACCCATACCATGTTTTGCAGAACCTTAGCAATGTAGATTGCAAACTCTAACATCTCTCCCTGGGGCATTTAACTGAAAATTCTCAGGTTGCTGTTTAGCAAATCAGGCCTGATATATCTTCCATCAAGCACAATTCCACTTTTATGCTCACACTATATAACAAATTTAAGCCGCAGTTAACTTATGCTGAGCTTCGTTTTGTTTCATAATGGCTGCATAGATAAATCCACAAGGGTCGGATATAGACAGAGGAGAGAGACATGATGTAGCAATAAGTTGGTAAAAGTACATATAGGTTACTGAGTTACCAGTATATTTATTTAAAGCAGATAGTGAAGCCACTACTGTTCTATGAGTTGTGGCAAGTTTTATCGGTAAAGTAATTGCATGAGGAGGGGGATGAGGAATTGCATATTTAAAAATTCTCATACTTGGCCATACAGATTCTACAGCATCTAGAGTTTTAGTGATTCTTCTTTAAGTGGACCTTAGGTGACAGGACCACTAGCAAGGCAAAACCTTAAATGTTTAGTCACGTCTCTATTGTATTCTAAATCATATCGATACAGATATTTATGGAAGATCAGACTAAGCTATGATAAGGACTAACAAGCCGTCCACGGAATGTGGAAAAATATATATATACATATCATGTTTGATCCTGATGAAAGTTCCAGACAGGAACTGAAACGTTGATCTTTTAAATGGAATTTCAATAAACTGTAAGTTTTAATTCACAAAAGCCCGAGAGTGCTGATCACTACTTCACTTTATGCAATTTTTCCCTGGATTACAAGCACCCGGCCTACATCAGTCTACAAGCGTGAGTGCAAGGAAACCCTGTATGCTGTATATACATATATATATATACTTAAATGGACACTATGGTCATCAAACTTTAACACTCAGTAGAGGTTGTATGTGCTGGATTTGTATAATTGGCAGAGTTTTACATGTTCTTCCACAATATTTTATCATATCATATTAAAGCAACATCAGGTAACTTTAAGTATTTATGCAGAAAAAGTATAGCAAGTGCTCAAACTGTTAATATGGGTAATAGTATAGAAAAGAATAGCCGGGTGCTTTAAGGGAAAATCCGATCCCCAACCAGATCTATAGTCATAGTAAAAGGAAACCCAAGCATACCAGAAAGAGTTGTTTGCATATAAAAAGTATTTTATTCATATAGTGGAGACACATAAATAAACACATTTTCCCTGAGGAAGGCTTGGTTGCAGAAACGTCAGGGTTCTGTTGTCTCCTGCTCTTTGGATTAGTATGCCTGGTTTTTTATGGGTTTATTTACTCTTGAGCACTTTATTATGCATATATAGTGGTTATTGGTAAGCTGAATACTGTTTAAATACCTCTACTACTAGCAGCACTTTTTCTGTACAGTTTATGTGTATCCACTATATGAATAAAATACTTTTTATGTGCAAACAACTTTTTCTTTTTTGTGCTTGGGTTTCCTTTTACTATGACTTTAAGTATTTAACAAGAACAATTTAAACTTTGCAAAATAAATATTTCAAGGAAATATAAAGTGACGCATACCCAGAAAGAGTTCAGTTTTTCTTTTTATTTTCTCACACAATATACCTGAGCTGAATATGTACACATATATACAATAAGTTCTCAAAAATATCACTGCACAGGATGATTTCACATTTTCTATTCTTTTATACATTTTTAATCAATACATTTATTCATGGATATAAAAAAAAATCCTTTATGGATATAAATTCCCATCTTAAATATCTGGGCTGTTTAAATACATAAAAAAGATTTGTCCCTTATCTTTGGTCAATATCATCAAACAAAATATGTTATCTATATAAGAAAATATTTCTTTGCAACTATATTTCAATATTTCAAAAATATATGTACATACTCTGAACGCATTCCAAACAGCTTAGTCGATAGAATATTTGCATTTCACACAGTTTATTTATAATGAACAAACATGTTCACAATGTTCCTGAAGGTTCCAGGTATATAATTTCCAATGACGACTTCCAGCTTATGATCAAAAATCCAATTAAACACGTCTATAAAAAAAGTGGGAAAATTAGGTTAGAATTGCAAATAAAGTCATATTAAACATCACTATCAGCTTTAAAATTCACAGGTAAAGAAAAAAATATAGATTGATTTACATGTATTAGGGAGGGCAATATTCTCCATTTAGACAAAAATGCCTTTATTTTGACAGTTAAAGAGTTTTTTTTGTGGTTAAATGTTCTTGCCGTTCATTTAGTTCAAATTCATAGTATAACGCAATTTGAAAATCAGTATGAATAACGTGTGTCTTTAGCGTACCTCTTTTAAGAACAGATGTATTCTGAAAACCGTTTATCCTTGAGTGCAGAATTTCGTTTTGCTCGAAGACGGGAAGAGCATCTAATTTCTACGGGTAATCAAATGGGGGGGACAAAAAAAAAACACTGTTAAATAAAAATTGAACAAAAGAAAGGACATAAAAAATAAAACATGAAAGCATAAATCTCAATATATAACAATAGCATGTAAACAGTCTATCACACACAAACGGCACAAATGATAATTGCAGGACAGTAGTAGGAAACAGTTTAGGGGAATGTTAAATAAACTGCCAAATTTGTTAATTTTAGCATTATAATGGAAAAATTGCCTAAATGTTTTCATTATCTACTTAGCTTAGCCAAATGGACCCTGCTATTTTAAAAAGGAAACCATAGCCAGATTTCATTGCTACAAGGCAAAAATATATATAGTTCGGGTTAACTATAGTTCAGGGGATCTTTGGGTGTGGGTACAATTCCTTAGTTTGTATCATCATGGGAATATGTGTAACACAATTAAAGGAAGCATGTCAGTGCTCCCCAATTATAGATCAACAAAATGGTGATTACCTTCAGTAGGAGAGATAGATCCTGAATCAGATGACTGATCACCTGGACCATGTAACAGTGCTGATTGAAGACCTTTGCTAGGCAACGTCAAGGCTGAATGTTCTGCAGGAACCATCTCCTGAGCAGGAATACCAGATACACCAGAATTGAGTAAATGTTTGGCCACTTCAAAATTTGTCAAGTCATTTGTCATACTGCTCCTAGCCTTCTCCGCAGAAGGCTCTAGGTTAGAGTCCATGGGCTTAGTAAATGATTTGTCATCAGAGCATGTATTTTGAGATTTATACACAGTATTTCCATTGGTGGGATTTTTTGATCCATTCCAAGTTGTTCGGTTATTTTCAGGATATTGCATTGTCTTCACAAGAAGTCCATTGTGTTGAATGTTGTGCAAAACATAATTCTCTTGATCTATATTTCTCAGATATGATACTGAGGGTAAAGCAGGTGTCCGTTTAGCCTGATTGAGCAGAGGATTGGGCTGTGATGTTGGAACATTAGCTGTAAGACCATCCTGTTGTAAGGGTAAAATGTCAAATCCATTTAATGCAGCAGGGCATCCCGTACGCCTCTTTTTCTTTTTAACATAATGTCCGGTGTTTTTATACGTGGTTCCATTCTCCAGAGCAAGACTACTTTTGTGAGAAAGCTTATTATGCATTTCCAAAACTTCTGGGTTCAAAGTATGGTAGTTACAATATTGGCATTTATTAATGTTCAAGAAGGCAAGCGTAGCAGGATATTTTTGGTTATATTCAGCAGTTGTTAAACTCAAATTTAATGGCAATGACTGAGGATTTACAGGAGAGGTTGCATGACTTCCTTGATGAAGTCCAAGGTCATTAGTCACTTCCATCTCTTCAGATCCAGACTGGCCAGGTAGTGCTTTACAAACATCACCATTAGGGATGAATGATGGTCTAACAGTGTCCCCATTTCCTAAAGATGGATTTAAATCTCCAGGTGTGTTTTGCAAGGAAGGAAGAAATTCATATGGTTTCATTGGAGGCTTGCAATCCTCTTTAGGAGTATTCACTTCCTCACTATCTGGCTTGGATTCTTTTAATAAAAAGTTGGCAGATTTTTGAGAAACTATTTTACTCATCTGCTTCACTTTAACTCTGGCATCTTCTTCCTTAAAGTTGTGATGGTGTCTCAAATGGTATTTTAAAGAGGTGGCTTGTGCCGACTTATAATTGCACATTTCACACTCGTATGGTTTTTCACCTGCAATGATAAAAACATCTGTTAGAAGCAAGCTGTCAAAAGGCAATATAATAATTCATATATAGATAAGTTAGGAAAAAAATCTTAAAATGTAATCTACTGTCATTCAGTACAATTTTAATCAATACAAATGTTATCAATCAATATTCCTAAAAACTGTTTGTTCTATAGAAATTAAAGATTTTGACTCCCTTTTAAAATTGACCAAGATATTTTTGAACTAGAAGTAGAACTGCAAAAATTCAAAAATGTGGGCCAAACTAAGGCCTCAGTTTAATATTGTTGGATATGTTTTTCAAATCATTAAATATTTCTGGATACATTTTTAAAAGTTTTGCTAATTTTTTTAATTAATATTTTTTAACATACACAATATTTTTTTTATATATATTTTGATATATGATATATTTTTGATATATTAATATTTTGAAACAATAATTTTTAAATCTTATCAAGCTTACCAGTGTGTGAACGGAGATGGATCCTAAGGTAACTTTTTGAAGCAAAACTTTTTCCACAATCGTTACAAATTGGAGATTTGCTTTCCTTCTTCTTGTTTTGATCTTCCTCTGCTTTTTCTTAAAGGATATGAAAAAGACATAAACAGAAAATTCCAGATTAATTTTGGTTTCCTAGAGCACTCTTTTATCATTAGTAATTATTTAAACATACACTTACTTATTCTCACAAAGCATTTTCCTTTTACAGAAATAAAAGAAATTAAACATATACAATATCATCCTAAAGCAGTGTGTTAAAATACTTTCATAACCAAACTTGTCTCCCACCAACTAGAGTAATGCCACTTGTTCGAAGAAGTGAAGTCACAGTTTGTTTTTTTAAGGTTTGGGGAGTTAAATAACAAAGTGTCAATTCATTTTATAATGAGGAATCACTGGATGTGACACATAAAGCAATTCATTTACTGAGTTTAATAAGCAGCGCCATCACACGTATCTAGATTCTTGAAGCAGAATAAACGTTTATGTATAATCTTCAGTAATGTAAATAATCTGCCAACAGAGGGAGCTATTGCAATAAAACATTTTTTAATATCCAATAATTATGCACACTGAACATTTACTTAACTGTTTCATAGAGAACTTATAAAATTCAAAAAATTGTGAGGATTGTAGTAGATTAATATCTTACCTGTCTGCATAGGTTCACTACGTGTATCTTCTGACATTTCCACTGAAACACCATGATTTAGCATTTGTTGGATTTGTTCATTTTCCACAATGGTTGCGGTATCAGAAGAAACAGATGGACTTTCACTGCACATGGATGAACTTTCATGATTTCCGTTTAGCAAATTAACCTTTTTGATCGCATCATCTCTGTCAGGAATCACAGATCCACCCGTTTTACCACCCTGTCTTCCTTTACTCCCTTTGGCATGGTCATCCAATTTCCCTGTGGTGTCCAATTGCCAAGCTTGACAACTGACCACTGGATCCAGTGCTGTGACCCACATTACGGATTGCTTTGGTCTCTTTGGAGAAGAAGATTTGGGCTTTAGGTTTAGAAAACCCATGAAGCGAACCTTTTCACATTCTTCTTTATCCAACTTATTGTCATCAGATGAAAAAGGAACATTATTTGTCTCTGGAATCTGTTGGTTTGACCCATTTGCAGAGGAGGTGGAAGGTGGAGTAGTGGGATTAATTTCAGGTGTTGGTCCAGTTGAATGGTTTTCAGTAGCATCAGATTTCGCAATATGTATTTTACAATGCTCTCCGAGGATATCTTTGATACAAAACAGGCCACAAAACATGCACTTTTTAAAAGTACTGGTAAGGGGTTTGTCTGATTGTTCTTGAACGACACCATTTATTGTAACAGGTTCATCAAGGCTTGTCTGATCCGTCTTAATGTCCTTTGATTTCCTATTCCGTTTCCTGCCCTTCGATGTTCCATCATGTGTTATTGCATGGTTCTTCAAAAACCTGTCCTTCTTGTATCTTCTTCCACAGATATGACAATGAAATGGGTATGCTTCTTTGTGCTTTGCCAAGTGGCTTTCCAATTCCTCTGAAGTACAACCGGTGTAGGGGCTAAGCTCACATTTAATAGCTTTGCTATCACTCTCAATACTAGTGGTGGGATATTCATTTTCACCCCTGCAACCTCTCTCATTGAGATCCTTACATGCACTACCAAGGCCTTCAGCATCATCCATGAACTTTGACAAAGGCTGAGGTGGCATTTTTTTACTCCACGTTCCCAATTTGTAGTTTGTTTTTGTGATGTAACTTTCTCAGTAAATGTTTTCCCTATTATGATTACTTACAAAGGTTGACAGTCGCAACGGCAGACCAGAACATTCAGCACTGCAGCAATCTCAATGACTTTTCAAGCAAATCTAAGATGTCCAGAACTAAAACGAAAATAAAAAAAAGAAATCAGCATCAATTTGTTGTTAATTCAACTAAAGAAAAATGATTACGCAGAACATGTAAAAGCACTTTGTAATTTCTACAATAAAAGTTTAGTGAGCAAATTATAATCCATTTTCTTTCAGCAAAATAAAAAAAAGTGATTTAGTAATAAAATTATAATTTGCAAGTTAAACAACAAGGAATTAAAATCAGATTGAAAACCAGATACAAGATCATGGAACCAAAATCAATGTGGTAAATACACCTTAAAAATAAATTAAATGCAATGCACGCAGCAAAATCTAGGAGGGGACGCACAGTGTTGTAGTGGAGATAGTTAAACCAAAAAGAAAAATGTAAATAGCAGGTTCTTCAAACAAATAGGCTTTTAAAGAATAATAAAATTGGGCTAAAATGTGGTTGATTCTGTAAAATATGCAACAACAACTTTACAAAATAAACGCTAAACTTAATACAATGAATTAGCATCTTAACTTTTTGTAAAGCCTGTGTAGCTTATTCATTAAATTGTTAATTGAAATGCAAATACGGCAGATGCGCAAAACTCAGAACAAAATAGAAGTTAAAAATGATCACATTTGTCTATTTTGGCTCCAAATTTGTTTTATTACTATATAACCTTATGTGATGTTTTTGCATCAAACAGAGATTACACAAAAAGAGAGAAAGTATTTATAATGAAACCAGAGCATTAACTAAAAATATTTCACACATTTACAGGATAATAGCTTGATACACATTTAATTGAGATACAAATCAATCTGTTTGAACAAACTGTCTGATTACCTGATTTTTGGATATATTTTAATTAACATTATATTGCAGCAGGCCTATTGTTTACAAAAACAAAAACCTTATCATAATCAAAAGCAAACTGCAATTAAGTCTCCAAAAAGTCAGTTACTATTTTATGAAATACTGGGGAGGGGCTGTTTTTAATGAAGGGGGGGATTCTAACAAGTTGCTAATGGAGATATTAGGATAAAGTTGAATGTTTCTTTGTATCTGCTTTACTTTCTATCTATAATATTTCCAGATTACTCAATAAGTACAAGACTGCAATATAACAATATTAAATAGCTATGTACTTATAACAAACTGAAAAAACAGAAATAACAGATCAGTGAAAGAAATAGACTTTATCCCTGTTTGTCCCCTAATGCAGTATTCAAAAATTACCTCCTCCCCAGCTCTCTAGAAAAGTACCCCCTCCCTCCCCAATGCTATCAACACAACAGGAATATCAGTAACTATTCTACAAGCAAGCAGCACTGTTTGATCCACGGAGAAGAGGTTTTAAAAACAAATAATCTCTATAATAAAATGTTCCCAGTGTGTAGCAGGTATCAGTGTGCTCCCCATTAGTGCTGATCATTGTGCCCAGAAAAGGACCCCTTGAAGACCCCCCTCCTCTATATCAGTGAAAGGTTAAGTAATAAAGTGAAACAATTTAGGCTTCAGGTGTCCCAGCATGGCTATACAAGGTTATCATAAAGCAGTTAGAAGTTGCAAGTTACCTGGAGATTTGGCTACCTTGGGTCCTTGTACCTGCTGGTTCTTGCTCTAGTTGAAGTCATTGATTGTCAGCCTAGAGCTTAATCTCTCTATATATTGAGTTCTAAAGGCCAAGCCCTGCCCACTGATTAGAATTACAATAATGAATCTTTCTATAAACCTTTCTCCATAGAAATTCCCTAAATCTCTAGCATCTGATTGGCCAGTCACTGGACACTGTTTACAAGATCATTATGCTAATGTATTATCAGGGTAAAGCCCAAATATGTAGATACTAAAACTGAGTAAAAATGTATCCTTATTGCATTTTAAATATACACTAAATAATTTTATGTAGGTTATTGCTTTATTTTTACTCTTGAGTCTGTTGAGTGAGAATATCCTTATTGCATTTTAGTTACTGGACCTCAAACTGTTCAATAAACCTTTAATTATAGTGAATTAGAAACAGATTGGTAAACGTTAGGCTAAAATGTTTAAACAGTAACTATAGCTTTGTTAGAGGCTTTTATTCCAATCAGCTATTATGGCCCAACTTTTACAATCCAGTTTCAGTTGCATTCAATGCAATGTTTTAGAGATTTCTTGGTGGGTAAAGATTCAACACGATAAAGGCATTTATTATTCCTAAATGGGCTTATCTTATTAATATGATTCCATTAAAATTTCCCAAAGCCTGGTTAGACATGGCCCAGCATTCTCTTTCCAATTTCATTTGGAAAGGAAAGACTCCAAGAATTGGAGGACATAGTCTTAAATTAGAGGGACAAAGGTTTAAAAATAATATCAGGAAGTATTACTTTACTGAGAGGGTAGTGGATGCATGGAATAGCCTTCCAGCTGAAGTGGTAGAGGTTAACACAGTAAAGGAGTTTAAGCATGCGTGGGATAGGCATAAGGCTATCCTAACTATAAGATAAAACTAGGGACTAATGAAAGTATTTATAAAATTGGGCAGACTAGATGGGCCGAATGGTTCTTATCTGCCGTCACATTCTATGTTTCTATGTTTCTATGTTAATTAAAAAGTAATACAGGATGTATGGGACACCCCTTAATAAATGATATATATTGGTCTAATATAATTACCCATATTCATAAATTTCAGATCTGTAATACAAAAAAACTAGCTTGGTTTGAAATAGAAACATTTAAATCCGCCGAAAGAGACCAAGCCCTGCTCATATGGGTTTTACTAAGCGTAACCATCAATTAATACAATTCAATTCAATCGTCTTAAATCATCTTATAGAAGAATGGCAATTAATAAAAAAAGAAACTTAAGATTGCCAATAAAATATTTGAAGGAGCTAAACTTCGACTCTTGGAAAAAATCATGCAAGACTTAAATCTTAGTACATGGAGATTTCATAAAGAAATTTTTATTGTAAGATATTCTCCAAGACTCTAGGTTAAGCTCATTTAAAAAAGTTAAAATCAGAATTGGATATTTTCGATAAAGAAACTTTTGCAGGTTTTTTAAATGATTTTCTTTTAAAGGCAGAAGGAAACAAGAAGAGGTTAATCCATAAATGCTTAAAAGAAGAAAGGTCAAAGCACTTAGCTCTATAGCTATAGAATTAATAAAAACAATCATATTCAAGTATAGATCTTCCAGCTAAAAAGAAATGGGAAAAAGATCTGAATCAAAAAATTACAGACAACAAATGGTGTTTTCCGTTAAGATTAATAAAAAAAATATATACATTGTCTTAATATTATAGAAATATTCTTTAAAGATGGTACCTAGTCCCAACCAGACTGGTTAAAATTTCAGCGACTAACTCACCACTGTGTTGGAGATGTCTAGCCAATGAAGGCTCTATGTTACATATTTGCTGGAATTGTCCAAGAATAACTATATTCTGGGACTCGATATACTCCAGTATGTTAGTTTTTAATATAAATCCACGGAAATCCCCAGAAACAGGCATTCTACATCTGAACTGGGGTAAACTTTCAAAAAAATCATCAAATAGTGACTGTTCATTGTCTTATGTCCACAAAAATAACTATTGCAAGACTATGGATTACTATTATATGCAAATATTTATGAACTAATCTGCCCCCACCTCCACCCCCACAAATCACCCAAACATACGGCACACAAACAGCACACACACACATACAGCACACACACACATACATCACACAAACAACACACACACATACAGCACACACACAGAAACAGCACACACACATACAGCACACACACACAGCACCCACACACACACAGCACACACACACACACAGCTCACACACACACAGCACCCACACACACAAAGCACACACACAGCACCCATACACATACAGCACCCACACACATACAGCAAACAAACAGCACCCACACACACACAGCATCCTCACACATACAGCACCCACAGACATACAGCACCCACACACATACAGCACACAAACAGCACACACAGCACCCACACACACTGCACCCACACACACATCACCCACACACATACAGCACCCACACACATAGCACCCTCACAAACACACACACAGCACCCTCACACACAGCACCCTCACACACAACACACAAACAGCACCCTCACACACACACACAGCACACTAACAGTACCCTCCACAAACCACAGCACCCACACAGCACACTAACAGCACCTTCACACACACACAGCACACAAACAGCACCCTCACACACACACCACCCTCACACAGCACACTAACAGGACCCTAACAAACACACACACAGCATACTACCAGTACCCTCACACACACACCACCCTCACACAGCACACTAACAGGACCCTAACAAACACACACACAGCATACTACCAGTACCCTCACACACAAACAGCACCCTCACAAGCGCACACACACACAAACTGCACCCTCACACACAGTACATTAACAGCACCCTCACAAGCGCACACACACACAACCACCCTCACCCACATAGCACACTACCAGCACCCTCACACACACATCACACTAACAGCACCCTCACACAGCACACACACACACACACATACATATATATACGCAGCGTGTGCTTGTGCTTTAGGGTGCACACCCTAATGCAATAGGCTGTGCACGCCTATGGATATGTGTATGTCTAATACAAAATATAATAAAAAGATTAAACATTAAACAGAGACTATAGCTTTGTTAGAGGCTTTTATTCCAATTAGCAATTATGGCCCAACTTTTACAATCCAGTTCCAGTTGAATTCAATGCAATGTTTATTAATTAATGTTATAACACGTAAGAACAACACTACTGTCATAAACAGTAAAATAAAAAAAATTAAATCTGATACAA